TTTAGTATATTTAGTGTTATAATATTAAAAAAAGAAGATTTATTGGAATTAATTCCATTCATATATCCAATAAAACACAGTTTATATCATAATCTCAAAGTCAACCGGAATAACAATGAAAATTTTCCAGACCCTTATTATTATGAAGAAGAACGTGAATAAAAATAATTATATTATACAGTATATTGTGAATATAATATCAAACATTTTATTCATTAAAAAGTTTGCTGTTTTTTTTTTGTATCAATTAGTTTGTTATTTTGTTATTATGCAACTGTTAAATTGTTTTTATTTTAATAACTAAGTTGTGATAGTATTTTTACCTAAATATTATGAAATTAAAATATTATGTCAGGTCTTAATTTTTTTTATACAATATTAAAATTTTAATACATATCATTATAAAACTATTATGAATTTTATCACCAAAGAAAAGAAATCTATTTTTTTTTAATATTATTATACTCTGATACAAAATGTTATAATAAATTGTCCGTTATTTCATTAATATTATAAACAAGGTTTGTGAATATTTCAAAAATTGTATTCATACTTATAATTTTTATAAGTATAGAATCCTTTTTAAAAGTATTTTTTGATTTGTTCTCAGCATGAAACTTTTAAAATTCTCATGCAAGTTTGGTTAATTTTTAATAATTAACACTTTGTCTAATATAACTGTGTTATATACATTAAAATGTAGGTCAAAGGGAATTGAAACATTTCACAGAGGCGGACTAACCATCAATCATTTTTGTAAGTTAGTCATTTATAAAAGTTCTGAGTGGCCTAACCCACATCACAACTTTGAAAACTGAAAGCTCGTAAATGGCTTATATATAGTTAAAAAGACACAAATTTATTCTTCAAAAATAACTTACAAGTTATGTTTTATGACAATTCAGTGATTAAAAAAATGCAAATGAAAAATAGAAGAAACTTGCCAGTCTCCGAAAAAACCTATTTTGTGGGTTAAGCCGTTTTAGCTCTATGCACCTCATATAAGGACCATAAATTTCAATTTTATGGGCTGCCGGTATTTGGAAAAACGAAAAAATATGACAATAATTAAGTGAAAATGTAATATTTTTAGAAAGTCATATCTAACGAACAGATAAATGAAAATAAAAAATGCAAACGCTAACATATTTGTTAATTTTTTGTCTACAAATTTATGTAATTAAAAAACATGTGTTGCCATTAAAAAATAAAACAAAAATCCCCCTTTTTGGCTTATAAGGATTGGTGATAAAAATTTTCAAAATATTGAAAAATGTAGTACAATGTGTACCAAAAAAATCTTGGCAAAAATGTTGTTCAAAATACTAATATCTTCTGAGAAAATGAGTGTCTTACCCAAAATGAACCACCGTTTAGTGCACAGGACAACTATAGTTATATTATTATTATACTCGTCACAAATGATCAGATCGTTGATGACGCGGCAAAAACGTGTCGTATGGACGTATATCACATGTATCATAGTTATTACTTAGCGACCATGATCATTTTACTAAATACAATTATACTATAAGCATGTTTTCTGTAAAACATTATTAACCCGGCATCAGTATTTTCGGCCGCAAGTTTTTTGGATTTAGCGTTACACATTTTAAGAAGCCCTTATCTACTTGACTTCATGGTACCTTTCAATTAACTGATAACGCTAATGTTCGTTGAGTCATTTTGTATATTTATATCAGATTTACGTGATAATTCGTTTTTTAAAACTGATATCGGTCATAAAATCCAATGCCACTGTACGCGTGTATGAAAAAAACGTTATTACATGGTCGACATACTAGCACATGTTATCACATATTATGACATAAAACATATTTTTTTAAATTTATTAGACGGGTTTCAACAGTTATATTGCTTGTTGTTATATTTTCGACATTATAATATAAAAATGAGTTCTTGGGATGAAGATCGAATTAGAATTTTCTTAAAGGAAAATGATGAAATCGCTTCTTCAGATGTTTCGGTTGTAGATTATGTATACGAAAGCGATCATGACACTGATACAACTCAGTCCAGCGACAGTGATAATGATGATGATAGTCAAAATCTAAGTAAACGACAATTATCTCGTATAAATGTTTAGCCTCCAACCTATGTCGGAAAAGATAAGAAATCTTTATGGTTAGTTGACCCACCACCGCGTAATAGTCGTACTCGAGCATACAATATTTTGAATATACGTCCCGGTCCAACTGGTCACGCAAAACAAGTAAAATCTTGTTATGAGGCATGGAGCTTGTTTTTTCCCGAATCTGTACTACAAGAAATAGTTCAATGTACAAACATAAATTTCGCACATATCCGACCAAACTTTGGAAGACCTAGAGCAGCACTAGATACAAATTTGTTGGAAATAAAGGCCGTTTTAGGTATTTTATACATAACGGGAGTGATGAATAGGACGGTACAGGCGTTGGTACAAGAACAGGAGTCTGCAAGAGAGTTGCCCCACGGCCTGAACCCCGCGCACCAGACGCGAGCCTGACGGCTACAAGCCGATGCACGTGCGAGCTAAGAGCACACTCCGCCGGGAGTTAAATCACAATGAACTGATCAAAACAGGAGCGACGCCCAGTCTTCCAGTCGAGTGGTGGAAGACCCACGATTAGTTGTGCGCGAAAGCACACCGGTGCCATCGTTATTCGCACTCGCTAGTGCCAAACGTAACTTTTACTGAGCGGATGGTTCGCCAGAACCCGCCCACACGGGCGACGCTCAGCGAGGTCGACGACCGACAGGGTCGAGGATGGCACGAGGGCCTTCGCTGAGCCCGCTCAAGAGGGTCAGTCGTTCGCAGGGCGCGGGCGGCCTGGCCCACTGGCCGCGGTTATCCCTGTGGTTAGGGGAGAAAGAATTCTACCAATCCCTCCGATAAGTGGCCTTCAGACAGGTCACTTCTTCTTGAGACACACCTTCTCCGGCCCGCGATTAGCACCTAGTGCTACTAGTCGGTCCGCAGTCGTAGGGGATCCCCTTCGGGGCTAACCACTAAAGCCAAGGAACGCCTGCTTATAGTATAATTGTAATCAGTAAAATGATCATGGTCGCTAAGTAATTACTATGATACCTATTATATAATAATAAAAAATTAATAGGTTGTTGATAACTTTAATGACAAAATAAATGGCAAACAGGGTGAATTTTATAGTAAAAAATGTATTATGAATGCGTTAAAGCTTTCGTGGATTGCAATTCCATTTTGCTGATTTTCGGATATATCTACGTTAGTATTTTTAGGTCCACGTTTCGAACTCATTGCAGAGTACATCATCAGGCTGTAGTAGTCACGACTGTACAGCTGTCGTGGCTATACTGAAAAAATGTATTATTATTTATTATATATTACCTAAAATTAAATGTGCCTCACCTCTCATCAAACATCGTTCCCTTTCCTAAATTAAAATAACTACTAATCAATTATTCATGATTTCGAAATTTATGTGGGGAAGGGAACTGTTAAGACTACTTCCAATCTAGAATTGAGTGGAGATATTGTGTTAAGATTATCTGAGATTTTACCTAAACTCATGAATTATAAAAATTAAGCTTTGATAATTGGTTCACGTCGTATAACCTAATTGTCAACTTAAATAATAAAGGAATTTTAGCAAAGGAACGGCTCGGTCACAGTAGTACGCATGACGATAACAAAATATGGAGTTTTTCTACCACAGTCGTTCAAGCTCACGGAACAGGAATGCGCCGAGTTTGAAAACAAGACAGGTTCGATATTTTATATCTTTTAGAGGTTGTAAACAAAATAAGTCATTTATTATAGACTTTAAGACATAAATTTTATTTTTAACAGAATAAAAACAAAATGTCTAAAGAATAAAACGATTATACTCTTTTTTTTTGTGTGTGTTAATATTTTAAAATAAATACTTATAATAAAAAAAATACTATAAATTAGGTAATATGATTCTTGGAATCTTACGGTTTGTCTGTTATTGTAAACCCACGTATTGCATATGTGTCCCTATAAGGACATGTCATCCTTGCATCTATGTATGTTACTAAGACGTGACCAATGGGTGTCCCCTTCAGTATAGTTTAATTATACTTTCATTGTTAAATTGCATTATTTTATTATATTCGGGTAGAGTGACGGCGTCGTTCTGTCAGAAGTAGATTACCAATCGATCATTGTACTACTCAGATTTTATTAATATATTAACTACAAATTTATTAAATACTTATTATATCACCAACTCATTGGATTACTTATTGTAATACTAACTAATTATTCTATTATACTTTCCTTATTATTATTCAATATATTACAATTAACTAGAAAGTGTTCAACTTCATTCAACAAAACCTACTGCTAGTTTTACGTTACAAACGATGGTCGTTTACGGTTTTTTGTACGCGGTCATCCGACAGGTGCACTACACTGTTGATAACATATTACTGTTAATACAATAATAATATTATAATGTTGAACCATAATATAAATAAGTGTATTGAAATATTTTAAACCTGTAAAACAAATGTATGTTTCTTTCTTATACTCATTTATTTAATATTAAATCAATGTATAACATTTCTCTTTACATTGTGTATTCCAAAAAACTTGTTTTCCAGGTCCTACACTGTGTGGTAAAGAACACATAAAGGCTAAAGGCTTTTTTTATATGTATCTCGTCCAATAGTATTTTGCATCCCACATATTTTTTTTCAAAATCTTCTAAACCACGTGCGAGCGGGGCAAAATAAGCGTAACCAGTATTAATTATATACTGCTGATAAAAAAACAAAGAAAGCAGGTGTCCTGTAAACTAGATATCTACCAACACTTATTTTTATGCTTTCACTGATACTCAGTTAGTTATAAATGAATCTTTAATATCGATGCTATTTTGACCTAAAGGCCGTTGGATAAGTGTTTACGCGCGCAGCGACGACACGACGGGACTTATCGACAACACGACATGGACTGTCTTTTTTCAACGGACCCTAAGAAAAATACAGTATTAAACATACGAACATAACATTATGTTCTTCAACTATTATTGAAGCTTGAAATTAAAATTGGCAATTTTCACAATAATTGTTGTGTCATGTAAACAGTTATAAGAACAAATAACTGTCAATAGGACACACGAGAATGAAACATTTATTCATACAAAAAAGGGTCATGGTCGAGAACAAGTTGGCCAGTCGTAGCAAGTTGGCCTGGTTCAAAGATTTCACAAGTTGTTTCACCAATCCAAAATTTTTATCCCTTCAAAAAAAAAAAATTGATCGTGAACCATAATAAACATTCAAATATTAAGCAAAACAGTCCAAATGGATACCAGATGTTAATGTAAATATATGATAAATATGTTTTACCTTACATAAATATCTTGGTGTTTAGCAATTGTCGCGTGGACTGCTGTTAAATTTCCACTTTGATAAAGTGGTACCAAATCTAAGTACGGTTGACACGTTGGTCCATACAATTCATCGAGGATTGTGGGATCAACGTTACAGTATGTTGGTACCGATCCGAAGTGTATGAGGACAAGTAAAATGAATTTCTTATAGGAATCAATCGTGATTGGCGAAATTACAGGAAATGTTGTCATGAAAACAATTTCGAAAAAAGTAATTGCTCTGTCAAAGTTTTTCATCGCTGTGTATATGAGACCGCCCGAAAAGTAGTAGTTCAAAAAGTATTTCGGTTCAAATATAATTTTAGGCTGTAGGACAAAATAAACACAATATTAATATACAGAACACATTAACAAACAAAATGCATTCCCACAGGTTGTACACAGTGTCATAACAAAAAATGTTACCTTCCTTGGCAAAAAAATACTTCTTCTTTTTTTAGGAAATCAAAAATAATTGAATTGATATAGTATAAAACGGAAAATTCTAAAATATATAAGTAATCCTATGTATACTTAATTATAAAAAAAAACAGATTTTGTATATAAATAGCTTAAATTAAATTTATATCGCTACATATTGCGTAAAGACATAGGCATTATTTAAATACAATATTAATTTTATTAACACAAATGTCCAAATAATAATTTCAAATACATTTTGGCACACATTTAAATATCAAATAAATTAAATAAATTTGAACTGAAAACAACAGATTATTAATGAAGTAGTCAAATAAAATATTATTAACAAAACTATATTACTCGATACAGTAAATAAAAGTACTTTAAATACGAATTTAATTTTTACATTAAATAAAATTGATTTAAAAAAAAAAATCGTTATTTTTAATAACATTTCGTTATTTAAGTTATGTAACGCTAAGGTTTCCTACACATTTCATTGTTAGAAAAATGTATTGTGTAAATAAAACTTAACATTATGTATTTTTATAATAAGTAATTGCGTAAACGCGACTAGAAGTTTTTTATGACTTAAAGCGGTGGTAATTAAACATTAATATCATTGGCATTAGCCGAAATAAGCTTTTCAATTAGGTTTAAAAATGGTTAGGCATATTTTACATTGATAAGGTCTCTCGCTTGTGTGTATCATACAAAATAGTGTTTTCGTCCGACAACGAAATAATTATTGAATCGATGTATAACATTTCTCTTTACATTGTGTATTGGTAAAGAACACATAAAGGCTAAAGGCTTTTTTAAAATGTATCTCGTCCAATAGTATTTTGCATCCCACATATTTTTTTTCAAAATCTTCTAAACCACTTGCGAGCGGGGCAAAATAGGCGTAACCAGTATTAATTATATACTGCTGATAAAAAAACAAAAAAAAAAAAGGTGTTCTGTAAACTAGATATCTACCAACACTTATTTTTATGCTTTCACTGATACTCAGTTAGTTATAAATGAATCTTTAATATCGATGCTATTTTGACCCAAAGGCCGTTGGATAAGTGTTCACGCGCGCAGCGACGACACGGCGGAACATATCGACAACACGACATGGACTGTCTTTTTTCAACGGACCCTAAAAAAAATACAGTATTAAACATACGAACATAACATTATGTTCTTCAACTATTATTGAAGCTAGAAATTAAAATTAGCAATTTTTACAACAATTGTTGTGTCATGTAAACTGTTATAAGAACAAATAACTGTCAATAGGACACACAAGAATGAAACATTTATTCATACAAAAAACAACAATAATATTATATAATATCATTGGCGTTAGCCGAAATGAGCTTTTCAATTAGGTTTAAAAATGGTTAGGCATATTTTACATTTATAAGGTCTCTCGCTTGTGTGTATCATACAAAATAAAGTATTTTCGTCTTTCCGACAACGAAATAATTATTGAATCGATGTATAACATTTCTCTTTACATTGTGTATTTCAAAAAACTTGTTTTCCAGGTCCTACACTGTGTGGTAATAATACAATATTTTATAAAAGTATAAAAGGATATACTAAAATAAACAGGACACATAACATATGCTGACTCATACCATACAATTGTACGCTTGGATGATTATCCTAGGAAACATTTCATACTTCACCACCCTGGTAATGACGCATTTACTCCTTATATAAGACAATACGACGGGCTTGTCGCCGCTCATTCGTTTAGCTACAATCGTCTGCTACTTATCAATTATTTAATTGTTAAAGCATTGTGTGCGTAGTTAACCGATTCTTTTCGTAATTGTTTATGGTTTTGACTCAGTGTATGTTCCAAGTCCTAAGAACAACAAAACATTGTGTTTGTTTATTATTGTTTTATTTAATAATTCATCTATTAATTTAGCTATCTTAACATAGTCCGAGAGTCTGGCCTGGTTCATTTAATTCTCTTGAGAAGCGTAAAGCAGCTCTAGGGATCCAATTCCTTTGAATTGAAATATTCACTTGGAATTTGGATGTTCTCGTCAGCAATTGGAAAATTTAAGTAGTCAAATAGTTAATTAATTAGTGTTTAGCTAAGGGAAGTCAACCAGAGTAGCGGCTGTTTAGTGAGGTTAAATATACGACCCTTAAGGTCGGTTGCTTCTAAATATTGCAGCCTGGTTAGTCTGATCTTCTGAACGAACTTGCGTAGTCCTCTGGCTAGTTATCACGTAGCATGGTAGAGGATCACCAAGTTAAAAGCGCATAAAAGTATATCTACAAAAAGGGTTATTTTTAATTATATTACTTGACATTATACAATAAATGTATCATTAGAGCCTTAAAGTAAGAATTCCATAGTTTTGTTTGAATGTTATTTATTATTATTCTTTTCTATGTAAAACCTTTCAGCGAAAGACAAAAACAATGGTATTTATACACTTACACTAACGGACTTCGCCCACGTAGGACTTTATACGAAGAAATGCTAGGGCAAGTACCGTCAGGTGGGGGACACATGTTAGGACTATTTGACACCCACAATGTATTCTGTGGTAGGTCCCATTCCAATTTTTCCCATGAACATTGTCCTGTTTCGGACACAGTGCTTACTAAATGTATCTTTGATAGAATAGTCAGAACTTTATTACAAAAAACCTATATATGGAACTCTGAACAACATTACCTTAAATGTTGTTATATATATTTATATTATCTATATATATCTTGTCTTAATTGCTTAGTAAACATTTTTAGACCAGTGAAACTATACTCGTATTTCATTATACCACTTAATAAGTTACAGAGTACTCTGGATCGCCATTTCTTTAGGATACCTTGCTCAAGTACAGTCCACGTTGACTGGCAGTGACAGGTTTGATGCAGGCCTGTTCTACGAAAACCAAGGTGTTTGAATCACAAATGATAGATGGAAACTCATTACGTACTATGACTTTAGTAATTATATTACAAACACTAAGACTATAGCTAAACTCACTTGAAGTAGGTATAGCTCTTACAGAGTATTTTATAATATTAAATACCTTAACTGACCAATATGACTCTGACACGAATTTATTATCCGATCTAACACACATCACAGCTGGGGAAAATTTAGTCAATCATTTTAACGCCTAGTGAATTTTTAGAAACCCTTAAAGACATTAAAGTTCAATTACCTAAATCAACTGACTTACTAGTAGGGTTTACTACGGCTGACGTTAGTGAGTTATTAAAGATTTCAGAAATAACTATATTTTCTAAAAACCAAACTATTGTTTTTATTATAGATATACCTATTGTAAATCAAATCGAAGTAAGTTTATACAACCTAATACCTTTACCCAGCCATATAGTTAACAATAGATACATTTACATTATTAACGAAAATCTAGAGTACATAGATTTTATTCCAAAGACCAATATAACTAACATTAATTTGCATTTGCTTGAAGCGCAAATGGTGTAGAGACCTATTAACAGAATGAACGGACATAAATCAGACAAAAATATAAAAAAATAATCACTTAAAAGTGTCATCAATGGGTGGCTTCTTTTATCATGTTCTTTTCATTTTATGCTATTATTTTAGCCAATACTCTGATTGTACCTATTTGGAACAGATTGTATATTTATTAATAAAGGGAAAAAAAAATGTTAATACATTTTTATCTGACCATGTAATTACTAACCGCCTTAACGACATTAAGAAAATTTCTGAACCTTTGGTAAGTATACCTGACAAGATAAATCAAAAAGATTTACACGACAATGTAATGGTGAATACCCATCGACACAATATGCTATTATACACCATTTGTACAATTATTATATTTTGCACTATGTATTATGAGAAGACCTATGTAACTAAACGCTTATTTTGTAACCACTCATTAAATTTTCGTTCTGAGATTGTAACTAAGCCAACCGTCAATGACGAAGCTGGACATCCTCTCAACACATTGGATCATGTCTATCCTAATGTTGAAGAACCTCAGCCCATGGTTACACCTCGCCCTACGGCTTCTACGGAGAACATTCGCTATCCACCTTTATACTAAAAGGAACATCCGACTTTGCACGTCCTTTTCTTCAGAAGGGTCTTTTCGGCTAGTGGCCTAAACACGTAAGCTGTTCCCACGACACCCAGGGCCAATCTACCACATAAATACCGTCTATCGGCAAAGCACAATGGTCAGACGTCGTCCAGCGCTCAGTCTACGCACTACTGCTATTTAGAACTTTTATTGTACTCACTTTTATTATTGTGTTAACTATTAATTTACAATTATTAAGGTATACCATGGGATCAACTAGAACAGGAAGAGCCGCCTCCAAGGCAACCAGCTATGACTACCGCTCCGCAACCAATGGCTGGGGAGAAACGAGGTAAGAACAGAATAATTTACGGTCTCATACAATAGCAATGGTGATTTTTGATGGTCTAGGTACCGAGCCAGGAAACGATACGCCCTTTGGTCGAGGGGCGTTAGACAATTAAGCGGACCAGGGTGTGCTTTTTCTCAACACTGGGCTTACTCGGGGAGACAAATCGCACATAGAACTCCGGGAGAACATTACAAAGAAAATTGTTTTAAGAGTTATTAGAACAATAGTACAATTGTATTTAAATTTAAATTTTATATGAATCTTTTTTGTAAATTTAAGACTTCCCCATTTCTTTGATTCACAAATAAAATAGCAATTCAGTATACTACTGAGTATTTAATAAACACTAACCAATTATTGGTTTTATTTTTTACAACTTATTAAAAAGGTTATCATAAGATAAGCCTTCATAACATATTGTATACTTTATTAGCTAATAAAGTAATAGCCTGTGTGACCCTCGGGTTAGACTAAGGCCACGGGCTGTTCCCTTATCGTAAAATGCGATTAATAGGAACACCGATAGACTCCCGGGATAAGGAGACACCTCTACAAAGCCAACGGCCTTAGGGGCAGATGAGCTGCGTAGAGTTGGGCAATATTTTGTCCTCAAGGTAGG